GATAGTTTTTGAGCTGTAGACTAGACTAATATCATTCACATAACTCAGAGATCACACTATTCTCATATTTCTATTTTTGAATAGATATGCAGTGTATATTGCAAATAAAATGAGTGAGATTGAAGACCTCTGTAGTACTTCTATTTTTATCTCAGTCTTGTCTTGTTTCATTCCATCAAAGAAGAGTTGTATAATTCTTTTAGATATAAAACAGTTAACTCATTTTATTAGAGAAAGTGACAGTTTTAATATCTTCAATGTCTGAATTTACTTTGACTTTGAAACATGATCAAATGCTTCTTTTATATCAATAAAAACTGCAGTTGAGACCAGACTCTCATGCTTTGCTATTTGACTATCATGAACAACTGAGAGAACAGTGTTAATTGCAGAACACTGTTTTCTATCTCTCATTTATTCACTGAATAAAAGAGAATCATCTATAAAGCTTATAAAAGATAGTTAAGTAGCTATTATCTTTTCTAAAACCTTTTCTAGACAGTTCAATAGAGATATTACTCTATATGACTTAGAAATTGAAGTTTTTCTATTAGGTTTTGTAAGAATCACTCCAGTGGCTTCTCTCCAGGATTCAGAATGATATCCATTTTTCAAGAGATTGAAACAGAGCTCAAAATATTCATTCTTTAAGTAGAAATATGTATTTTGAATAATCAAGTGATTAATTGAATCAGGACCTGCAGCAGTTTTAACAGAACTTGAGAAGATAGCTGACTCTAATTCATCTTGTGTAAGATCAGATCATTCCCAGTCATTTTCATCAATATAGTTGAGAAGTGATATATTCTCTTCCTCTGAATCTGAATCTGAATCTGATGAGTTCTGAAAGAGAATTCTCATGAAAGCTTGACATTTTTCCTCAAAAGAGTTTGCTGTATATGATTCATTCTGAAACTCATATTCTAGAGCTGGAAGTTTTGCTACACTTCTTGTTTTAGTATAGTTAAAAGCTTTAAAAACTTCCTTCTCTTATACTTCTTCAAGAAATTTATTTCAGCAGTCTGTTTTAGCTCTTTTAATATCTGAAAAATATTCATTTCTGACAGCTTTGAACTCTTCATCAGATATTACATCATTCTTTCAATCTCTTCTAGCAGTAGCTAATTCTTTTCTTTTAAATGAGATATTCTCATTTCATCAAGGTTTTGAATACTCAGAAGATTTTCTTTTTAAAATATTATCTCTAACACTTGTTAGAATAATAGATGTAATAAGCTTCACTCTATTCTTAAGCATTTCATTTGAGATATCTTGACCAGAATTCCAATATAGCTCATTCTGTCTTTCAGATTTTAACAGTTTTATACTTTCTTCAACTGCTTTTCAATCAGCTTTTTCAAAGTTATGCTGATTAGAGAGAAGAGGATTTTCACTCATTTATTTTTCACTCAGTTCAATATTAAATTGAATAATCTCATGACATGATCCTGATGTCTCATTTGAATTAATAAATCAGTTTACAAGTCTTCTTTTCATTAGATTTTGTGATATGAATGTTAGATCTATAATAGACTTTTGTTTCATGTCTTTTCTAAAGAATGTTTGTTAATCAGACTTATTAATCAAATCTATTGAATTCTCAAAGATTCATTCAATCAGATTATCAGCTCTCACTGCTCTCTTACATTCTGAATTTCATCAGAGATGATGTGCATTGAAATCTCCTGCAATTATAGAGTTTCTTGATGAAGTTATGTTCAGAAATCCTCTATCAATTGTTCAGATATTGTTATTTTTCTTCAATAACTTTTCATTATAGATATTTATGAGCTGTATAGTATCAAACTCATTTTCTTTATCTATAATATCACTCACCAGAATATCAGAGTCAGACATGATATCAAATCTTAGATTAAATTGATATCTTGATCTCTTTCTTTCATAGATCACTACTCTTGACTTTATCTCAGACTTCTGAGATAAAAAGCAGTAGTAGCTTGAATGAGAAATGACATATTTTTGCTCAGCATCAAAATTCGGCTCCTGAAGTAGTATAAAATCAACTTTTTATTCAAATACAATTTGAAGACAAGAATAAATACAATTTGAGTTTCTATTCACATTATTTTGAATAAATGTGATTTTTGAAGAGTTTTTAAACTTTTTTTATTGTTTTTATTGTATATTCATACTAAAAGAGAGTAGAGTAGAATCTAATCACTATCATCAGATAGTAGATTATAACTGTTCTGAAAAGTAGAAATCTCAACTGCTTACATTATATCTAGTTTATTATCAGAGTTATTTCTCAATTCTCTAATCTTAACAGAAGTTTGAGGATTCAAATTCTGTTTACATTTCACTGAAGAATTGAAGTTTGAAGACTTAGATAATTGAGAGTTTCTTCTTTTTAAGCTTGTAGTTGTGAGTTTACTAGCTTGACTCTTCTCTTCAGTTCTAGATTGACTTTGAGCTTCATCTTTTCTCCAGTTCTTTTGAGTTCTAGAAGCAAATATACATTCTTTTGAGCTAGATGCATGTTTTTCTTTGCAATTAGAGCACTTAAGCAGAGTATATTGACAAATTTCATCTCTTTTTGAGCATGTTTCACATTTATGCTCACTAGTTTTGTGATCTCTAACACAGAATGCACATTTTGAGTCTCTAAAACATGAGATTGCAAAGTGTTCATATCTTTGACAGTTTGAACACTGTGTTTGAGCTTTGAGATTCATTCTCAAGTCTTTGTATTCATGAACTCTCATTTTCAAACCTGCTACTCTTACTTCAGAGATCTTTGACTGTTCAAGTGTTTTTATATATACTAGAACAGAGGCATTTCTCCTGCTTTGTCTGAACTCAATTGAATTTAGTTATACAGGCTCCTTTCTCAGTTGAATGAAGTTGTATTCTTTTAATTCATTTTTGAGAAGTAGCATTCCTTCTTCACAGTCAAAAATTTCAACTGAAATATCATGAAGAATGAATTTGTCTCACTTTTCATCTCTTTCAGATAGAATTGTTGTGTTTAGCAAAGATTCTACTACTGACTTTCAGAGATTCTCATTCTGAATAAGGAATTCAGTACTGAATTCAGACATTGTAGTCAGAATAATGAAGTTTTCAAAGAATGATAACTTAATTGAAGCTATAACTGATTTTTAAACTTCAATATCAGTTATCAACTGAGAAAAGAACTGCTGATTAATTTCATTTCTGATTCTGAAAATGAGATTTGAGTTTAGCTTATTTCTTTGCAGAATATTCTGATTTGAGACTTTGAGAATAAGTCTTCTATTTCTGAAGATTTGAAAGTTTTTCTCTTTTTACATTTTCTTTTTCACTTTTCTATGAATAGAGACATGAGCAGTATTCTTCTCAGTTTTCTCAGGATTTTGAGCAGGTTTTGAGACAGCAGATTTAGAGACAGCAGATTCAGCTACTTGAGCATATATTTTTCTCTAATTCAAAGAAGAAGAAGAAGTAGAAAGAAAGAAAGAAGAAAAGTAAGATAAAGAGTCAGTGATTGTACTAGAAATTTTCAAGGTTTTTTAAACTGTGTTTGAGATTTTAAGTTTGAACTTGATCATCTTCTGTAGTTGTCTAGTCTGAGTATGAAGAATTAACAGAACTTCTTCATTCATCTCACTCAGATACTGCTTTTCAAGAATCTTGCTTACTTTTTCAAGTTTCTGTATTTCAAGAACTTATTATTTCTCTATTTCTTCTTTCTTTCTTCTCTTCAGAATTTCAATCTCAGAAATAGTATTTGAGAAAGCATCTTTTTTCACATCAACTGAGTGTATTTTTGAACTTATTATTTTCACTCAATGAAAAGTTGATCAGACTATTTCAATTGAGATATTTCTAAGTCTATTTTCAATTGAAAAGTTAATCAGACTGTTTCAAAAGAAGAATAAAAGACTTTTGTATATAAAATATCTGATTTTTTTTCACACTAGTTCAGTAACTAGATTAGATTTTTGAAGAGAATCTAATAAACTAAAATTGATTTTTAAGATAAATCAATAAAATCTTTACAATCTCTTTCTTGAGATATAGTGAGAAAAAGTATAATATCAATTGATAATAAATCAGATAATATGACAGTTTTTGAGAGAAAAACTGACAAAAAATAAATCAATTTTTTGCAGAGAAATTGATTAAAACTATTCAATTTTATTCTAAATCATTCAATTCTTCTCACACAACAAGTGTGCAACTCAAATCAGTTAATAAAGAGTGTAAAAAAGAATTAAGTATTAATAAAAGCTCTTCAGTCACTGAAAAAGTAATTCTTACTTAAAAGAATATGAAATTATAACAGAAAATAACTCTATTTTTAATTCTTTGTAAGAATATTGTATAAAACTCAGAGAAAAACACCTTACTTTTTCAAGAGAAGTAAAAAACTATTTCTAAGATCTTTTTTTTATATTAACTGCTGCAGCAGAATGAGATAGAAACTGCTAAGATATATACTACTGTATACTCTCTATCAAGACTTTCTCTCTTCAGAGTCTTGATATTATAGAGAATATAAGTCTGTTTCTATATAATAATATAAATATTATCAGCAGAATGTAGAGGAACTGATTATTTATATCTCAAAATAGAAGACTTTGTCAATGATTATATCAATATAGAGTTAATTCTCAAATTCAATAGAAATCTAGTGTTACTGTTCTTAATTTCTTACAGAATCTATTGAATATTGAGATATTAAAACTAGATTTAATATATCTCACTATGCAGAGATCAAAGGCTCAGTCAGATCTTGAGATATACTGATTTTATAGTTGTTGATGTGCTGTTGACTTGTTATTCACTGATTATGTATTGAATGCTGTTGCTGAGGTATCTTTTTGTATCATTCTGCTGAGGATGGGCCAGATTGAGAGGGATAGTACAGGGGTGAGACTTGGTGTTGAAGTCTAGATACACTGGCGGCGGACCGTGGAGGTTGCACTTCAGAAAAGTCTGTTGATTATGTGCTTGATATTATCACTGAGGTATCTTTTTGTATTTTTCTGCCGGGGATGGGCCAGATTGGGAAGGGCGGTACGAGGGTGAGACTTGGCGTTGGTGTTTTGGAACATCAAAGATGGACAGGGTTTTCGCGGAGGTCGCTCCTCGGATATCTCCACAACTACAGGTCGGGGATCTTCCAAAATCGAGAAGATTGGTGCATATGGCTAGGTCACTTCACCTTACAATTTGTATGGCACTCTGGCCCGGGGTTGTGGTGTGGTAGGGGAGAACGGGGGATAATCCCACACAGGAGCTTCGAACAACGTCCGGTTCACGTTTGGCTGGATAACTCCACCACCACACGGGGTATGCGGTCGGCGATGGGGTCAAAATGCTCGTATGATCGAGGGCTTTTCGATGGATCTATCGGCGGGTTCTTATTCGAAAAATCGAGCGAGTTCGTGGTGGAGCGGTTCTGTTTCATTGTCTTTGTATATACTAGAACAGAGGCATTTCTTCTGCTTTGTCTGAACTCAATTGAATTTAGTCATACAGACTTCTTTCTCAGTTGAATAGAGTTGTATTCTTCCAATTCATTTTTGAGAAGCAGTATTCCTTCTTCACAGTCAAAAATTTCAACTGGAATATCATGAAGAATGAATTTGTCTCACTTTTCATCTCTCTCAGATACAATTGTTATGTTTAACAAAGATTCTACTGCTGATTTTCAGAGATTCTTATTCTGAATAATGAATTCAGTACTGAATTCAGACATTATAGCCAGAATGATAGAGTTTTCAAAGAGGAATGGCTCAATTGAAGCTATAACTGGTTTTTGAACTTCAATATCAGTTATTAACTGAGAAAAGAACTGCTGATTGATTTCATTTCTAATTCTGAAAATGAGGTTTGAGTTTAGCTTATTTCTCTGTCATATGTTCTGATTTGAGACTTTGAGAATAAGTCTTCTATTTCTGAAGATTTGAAGATTTTTCTCTTTTTGTATTTTTTTCTTCACTCTTCTATCACTAGAAGTATGAGCAGTATTCTTCTCAGTTTTCTCAGAATTTTGAGCAGATTTTGAGATAGCAGATTTAGAGATAGCAGGTTTAGAGACAGTAGATTCAGCTGCTTGAGCATATGTTTTCTTCTGATTTAAAGAAGAAGAAGAAGAAGAAGTAGAAAAGAAAGAAGAGTAAACTGAAGAGTCAGTGATTGTATTAAAAATTTTCAAAGTTTTTTAAACTATGTTTGAAATTCCAAGTTTGAACTTAATTACTTTCTGTACTTGTCTAGCCTGAGTATGAAGAATTAACAGAACTTCTTCATTTATCTCACTCAGACACTGCTTTTCAAGAATTTTACTTACTTTTTCAAGTTTCTGTATTTCAAGAACTTGTTGTTTCTCTATTTCTTCTTTCTTTCTTCTCTTCAGAATTTCAATCTCAGGAATAGTATTTGAGAAAGCATCTTTTTTCACATCAACTGAGTGTACTTTTGAACTCATTGTTCTTACTCAATGAAAAGTTGATCAGACTAATTCAATTGAGATATTTATTAAACTCTTTTGAATTGAAAAGTTGGTCAGACTGTTTCAATTAAGAGGTTTCTAAGTCTGTTTTCAATTGAAAAGTTGATCAGACTATTTCAAAAGAAGAATAGCAGACTTTTGTGTATAAAACACCTGATTTCTTTCACACTAGTTCAGTAACTAGGTTAGATTTTTAAAGAGAATCTAATAAACTAAAATTGATTTTTAAGATAAATTAATAAAATCTTTACAATCTCTTTCTTGAGATACAGTGAGAAAAAGTATGATATCAATTGATAGTAAATCAGATGATATGACAGTTTTTAAGAGAAAAACTGACAAAAAATAAATCAATTTTTTGCAGAGAAATTGATTAAAACTATTCAATTTTATTCTAAATTATTCAATTCTTCTCACACAACAAGTGTGCAACTCAAATCAGTTAATAAAGAGTGTAAAAAAGAATTAAGTATTAATAAAAGCTCTTCAGTCACTGAAAAAGTAATTCTTACTTAAAAGAATATGAAATTATGACAGAAAACAACTCTGTTTTTAATTCTTTGTAAGAATATTGTATAAAACTCAGAGAAAAACATCTTACTTTTTCAAGAGAAGTAAAAAACTATTTCTAAGATCTTTTTTTTTTTACATTAACTGCTGCAGAAGAATGAGATAGAAACTGCTAAGATATACACTACTGTATATTCTCTATCAAGACTTTCTCTCTTCAGAGTCTTGATATTATAGAGAATATAAGTCTGTTTCTATATAATAATGTAAATATTGTCAGTGAGATGTAGAGAAACTGGTTATTTATATCTTAAAATAGAAGACTTTGTCAATGATTATATCAATATAGAGTTAATTCTCAAATTCAATAGAAATCTAGTGTTGCTGTTCTCAATTCCTTGCAGAATCTATTGAATATTGAGATATTAAAACTAGATTTAATATATCTCACTGTGCAGGGATCAAAGGCTCAGTCAGACCTTGAAATATACTGATTTTATAGTTGTTGATATGCTGTTGACTTGTTATCTGTTGATTATGTGCTTGATATTATTGCTGAGGTATCTTTTTGTATTTTTCTGCCGGGGATGGGCCAGATTGGGAAGGGCGGTACGAGGGTGGGACTTGGTGTTGGTGTTTTGGAACATCAAAGATGAACAGGGTTTTCGCGGAGGTCGCTCCTCAGATATCTCCACAACTACAGATCAGAGATCTTCCAAAATCGAGAAGATTGATGCATACGGCTAGGTCTCTTCATCTTACAATTTGTATGGCAATTTGGCCCGGGGTTGTGGTGTTGTAGGGGAGAATGAGGGATAATCCCACGCAGGAGTTCTGAACGACATCTGGTTCATGTTTGGCTGAATAACTCCACCACCACACGGGGTATGCGGTCGGCGATGGGGTCAAAATGCTCATATGATCGAGGGCTTTTCGATGAATCTATCGGCGGGTTCTTATTCGAAAAATCGAGCGAGTTTGTAGTGAAGCGGTTGTCACTGCATTCTTCATGATATTTCAGTTGAAATTTTTGACTGTGAAGAAGGAATGCTACTTCTCAAAAATGAATTGAAAGAATATAACTCTATTCAACTGAGAAAGAAGCCTGTATAACTAAATTCAATTGAGTTCAGACAAAGCAGGAGAAATGCCTCTGTTCTAGTATATATAAAAACACTTGAACAGTCAAAGATCTCTGAAGTAAGAGTAGCAGGTTTGAAACTGAGAGTTCATGAATACAAAGACTCAAGAATGAATCTCAAAGCTCAAACACAGTGTTCAAACTGTCAAAGATATGAATACTTTGCAATCTCATGTTTTAGAGACTCAAAATATGCATTCTGTGTCAGAGATCACAAAACTAGTGAGCATAAATGTGAAATATGCTCAAAAAGAGATGAAATATATCAATACACTCTGCTTAAGTGCTCTAATTGTAAAGAAAAACATGCATCTAGCTCAAAAGAATGTATATTTACTCCTAGAACTCAAAAGAACTGAAGAAAAGATGAAGCTCAAAGTCAATCTAGAACTGAAGAGAAGAGTCAAGCCAGTAGACTTACAACTGCAAGTTTAAAAAGAAGAAACTCTCAACTATTTAAATCTTCAAACTTCAATTCTTCAGCTAAATGTAAACAGAATTTGAATCCTCAAACTTCTGTTAAGATTAGAGAATTAAGAAATGACTCTGATGATAAACTAGATATAATACAAGCAGTTAAGATTTCTACTTTTCAGAACAGTTATAATCTACTATCTGATAATAGTGATTAGATTCTACTCTACTCTCTTTTAGTATGAATATACAACAAAAATAATAAAAAAAGTTTAAAAACTCTTCAAAAATCACATTTATTTAAAATAATGTGAATAAAAAGTTAAATTGCATTTATTCTTATCTGTAAATTGTATTTGAATAAAAAGTTGATTTTATACTGCTTCAGAAGCTGAATTTTGATGCTGAGTAAAAATATATCATTTCTCATTCAAGCTACTACTGCTTTTTATCTCAAAAGTCTGAGATAAAGTCAAGAGTAATGATCTATGAAAGAAAGAGATCAAGATATTAATTTAATCTAAGATTTGATATCATGTCTGACTCTGATATTCTGGTGAATGATATTATAGATAAAGAGAATGAGTTTAATACTGTACAGCTTATAAATATCTATAATGAAAAGTCATTCAAGAAAAATAATAACATCTGAATAATTGATAGAGAACTTTTAAATATAACTTCATCAAGAAACTCTATAATTGCAGAAGATTTCAATGCATATCATCTCTGATGAAATTCAGAATGCAAAAGAGCAGTAAGAGCTGATAACCTGATTAAATGAATCTTTGAGTATTCAATAGATTTAGTTAACAAGTCTGATTAATAAACATTCTTTAGAAAAGACATGAAATAGAAATCTATTATAGATTTAATCTTCATATCACAAAATCTAATAGAAAAAAGACTTGTAAACTGATTTATTGATTCAAATGAGACATCAGAATCAGATCATAAGATTATTCAATTTAATATTGAACTGAGTGAGGAATAAATGAGTGAAAATCCTCTTCTCTCTAATCAGTTTAACTTTGAAAAAGCTGACTGAAAGACAGTTTAAGAAAGCATAAAACTGTTAAAATCTGAAAGACAAAGTGAGCTGTATTGAAATTCTGGTCAAGATATCTCAAATGAAATGCTTAAGAATAGAGTGAAGCTTATTACATCTATTATTCTAGCAAGTATTAAAGATAATATTTCAAAGAGAAAGTCTTCTGAGTATTTAAAACTTTGATGAAATGAGAATATCATATCTAAAAGAAAACAATTGACTACTGCTAGAAGAGATTGAAAGAATGATATAATTTCTGATAAAGAGTTCAAAGCTGTCAGAAATGAATATTTTTCAGATATTAAAAAAGCTAAAACAGACTGCTGAAATAAATTTCTTGAAGAAGCATAAGAAAAAGAAGTTTTTAAAGCTTTTAACTATACTAAAATAAGAAGTATAGTAAAACTTTCAACTGTAGAATATGAGTTTCAGAATGAATTATATACAGTAAACTCTTTTGAGAAAGAATGTCAAGCTTTTATAAGAACTCTCTTTCAATACTCATCAGATTCAGATTCAGAGAAAGAGAATATATTACTTCTTAAGTATATTGATGAAAATGACTGAGAATGACCTGATCTTACTCAAGATGAATTAGAGTCAGCTATTTTCTCAAGTTCAGTTAAGACTGCTGCAGGGCCTGATTCAATTAATCACTTGATTATTCAAAATACATACTTCTACTTAAAGAATGAATATTTTGAGCTCTTCTTTAATCTCTTGAAAAATGAATATCATTCTGAATGCTGGAGAGAAGTCACTGAAGTGATTCTTACAAAATTTAATAGAAAAACTTCAATTTCTAAGTTATATAGAGTAATATCTCTATTGAACTGTTTAGAAAAGGTTTTAGAAAAGATAATAGCTACTTGAATATCTTTTATAAGCTCTGTCAGTAATTCTCTTTTATTCAGTGAATAAATGAGAGATAGAAAACAGTGTTCTGTAATTAACACTGTTCTCTCAGTTATTTATAATATTTAAACAGCAAAGTATGAGAGTCTGATCTCAACTCCAGTTTTTATTGATATAAAAGAAGCATTTAATCATGTTTCAAAGTCAAAGTTAATTCAGACATTGAAGATATTAAAACTGTCACTTTCTCTAATAAAATGAGTTAACTGTTTTATATCTAAAAGAATTATACAACTCTTCTTTGATGAAATGATACAA